CAAATCCTGTCCCATAGAACAAAGACACCACACAGAGGTGAGACCCACAGGTGGAAAATGCTTTGTACCTGCTCACAGAAGAGGACATCCTCAGTATGGAGGAGATGATGAGAAAGTAGGAGAAGAGAATCCCAGTGACAGGAAACACACCCAACACGGCAGTAACCACATACAGAAAGATGTTGTTGATGAGGGAGTCCGAGCTGGCCACCTTGAGCATCTCAGTCAATTCACAGAAGAAATGAGGGATTTCAGTTCCTGTGGAGAAGATCAGCTGTTTCATTAGAAGAATATGCATCAGGGAGACCCAGAACATGATGACCCAAGACACCAGAAGCAGAAGCCCACAGAGCCGGGGGTTCATGATGACTGTGTATTTCAAGGGGTAGCAGATAGCCACAAAGCGGTCATAAGCCATCACAGTCAGGAGAAAATTATCCATGCCAAGAAAAATATTGAAAAAATAAACCTGAGTGAGGCACTGTATGTAGGAGATGCCTTGGTCCTGTGTTTGGATGTTCACCAGCATCTTTGGGACCGTGGAGGAAGTTAAGCAGATGTCAGTGAAGGACAGGTTGGAGAGAAAGAAGTACATGGGTGTGTGGAGGTGGGAGTCAGAGCTGGCAGCTGCAATGATGAGCAGGTTCCCGACCACAGTGATGAGGTACATGGCCAGGAACAGTGCAAAGAGAAGAGGTTGCAATATAGGATCATCTGAGAGGCCCAGCAGAAGGAACTGTGATGCACCTGTCCTGTTCTCTGCTCCCATGTAGCTGGTGTATCTCCTGAGGCAAGAAGGAAAAGCAGAACGTTCCAGGAACAGCCACTGCAAACCTCAGCTAGTCGGAAGACTACACAGTCATTCATGAATGTGTATCTTTTCCATTCTGCATTGACTCTTGCCACCTAATGATTCCCCAGCCTTGAGGCCTTCCATTTCCCTTTCAAAGTGTGTAATCATTAAGACTTTCTCTAAGTTGCCAAAATTTCTCTTTTATGATTGACTCAATAATCCTTCTGTTTAAATCTATATGCAGTATTTAATTTCAGACATAGCTTATTCAAAAAATCTTGAATTCATATTTTTCCTTGGTGCTCTTCATCCTAATTTAAGCACTATAATGGTGAACAGAAATATATCTGGAATTCAAATCATTTTTGTTCTGCAACTTGACCCTTCACACCAAATAGGTCTCTCTAGTACCTTACTTTTTCTTTCTAAAATTGTGGTTACTGCTGTCATCTTATTTGAGATGTTTTAAACTGCGTTTGTGTGCAGACAGAGTCTTGGTAAATGATAACAGTTACTTTTGTTATTATCACTGTTAAAGTTATTTCAGAACTCCTTCAGTGTGATATGCTGGATCTATATGTCCCATATAAAGTCACATCCATGACTTTAGAAAGAGGATGTTGAATCAGACTTTTAGGAACGAAGTTGTGCACCACCAAAAAACCCATCTCTCTTGAGCAAGTTATTGAAATTCTCTTTAGCACAGGTACCTCATCTCTGCAGCAGGAGTAGTAAGAATTCGCTGCAAGATAGGACTGCAGGCAAAATTCCATGAGGTGGTCCAATGTTTATACTGTGCTTGTTACCTACAAAGGGCATTTAATTATTTGAGCTTCTGTTCTAAATGACTGAGTCAGTCTCACTTGCATGTATATCTCCTATCAATATAACTCTTATACTGAGACCAACATCAATAATGGAATGCTTCTCTGTATAAATATGTGTGTATTACCTCTTTGCTCTACAGCACTCCTATCTAATGAGGATCCCCATAGATCTTTCTTTTAGAGAGTGCCTGCTGGGTGAAGTCTTCCAAGAAAAATGTTCTGCACTACATTGATAAGAAGAGTAAACAAAACTATGCCACAATTAAAAGCAAACAGAAGACAAGTATGACTGTCTTTATTCATATGTGTGCTCTTATGTGTAGTGTACTGCATGAAAATCCCAGGTTCAATGGCCAAAATGTGTAGTTGATGAATTTTATTAAAATATTCAAATGTGATATAAACCAGTTCACCCTAGAAAAATAAAAAAGATGAGATACGTGTTTAGCATCCCCATGATAACCAAGGCCAATACTATCAAGACCTAAAGCTTGACTGTTACTTCAAAGCAGAACAATGTCACTGAGAATCAGTGTATGCTGCAGGAATATATGGGAGGGTCTTCCCTAAAAGAGGAATTTACGGCGTGTGAGAGGAAGGATGACTCACTGGAAATGAGGGCAAGCAAAAAAGATGCATATATTCTAGGCTCATAGAACGGAATGTGTGATTGCTTCATCAGAAAGTAAATTTGCACAGGAGACTTAAGAGACAAGTATGATTGAGAGCAGGGGGTGAGGGTCAAGTGGGAAATAAGGTCGAGGGTAACTTTTTAAAT